ACAATAACATTTTAAGCATTAAAGTGTAAAAAAATATTTTTAATAATGACATGTAATAATATTTTCTAAACATGGTATGTAATAATAATTTTTTTTTCAATATAGCATGTAACATTTTTTTTAACTAGTAACATTTTTATGTGCAGGCGTGTAATAATAATATTATTTTTAACCTGACGTGTAACAACCTAACCGTGTAACATGTTTTTGTGTAACAATAATATTTTTTTTTTCAACATGACGTGCAATAACTTAACCATGACGTGTAATATGTTTTTGTACATGTAACATCATGACATGTAAATTTAATAAAGATAATTTTATCTAATTTAATTAAAAATAGTTAGAATTATCTTGAAAGCTATTTTTAAAAACATCTTATCTTTAAATATTATATTTAAAAATACCCCTTTTTAAATTTTTTTTATGATTAAGTTAGACAAACCCTTTTAATTTTGCTCATTAAAAAATTTAATTAAAGCAATATATGCCCTTTTAAAAAATAATAATAATTTGTTTTTAAATTATATAACTTAATTGCAACTTTCAATCCCTTTACAAAATTTTATTTCTATTGTATATGGGGTACAAATGAAATCTAATAAATAAGAATAGTATACAGTGATGTTGATACGTAGCCAATCATTGTCAAATATCTCAGTCAATGGAACTATTACACTTGGCGCAGGAGTTGGGTCCCATTTCAACTCTTTTAGACCAGGTCAACTCCTCATTTACGTTTATAACCTCATCGTGTTATATGAAAAGACCAAAATAGGCATAAGAAAAGTATTTTCTCATGTAACAAAAGGTAATGTAGGAAGATATTTTCAACTTTTTCCCGATAGCTGGACTTTTTTATATAAAATTAAAAAAAATTACAATATAAATACTTTTTTATTGAATTTGCTTTTAGTTTCTCTATCTTGAATATAATGAATTTCGTCAACACATTTTTATTAAAAGTTGATTTAAGAAAAATAGAAGTAATGTCAAAATTTTACTTTTAATTTCGATGACGGGACTTTTTGATAATAACTTAACATATTAAAATAGATTAATAATTTTAATTTATTATTTTACTTAAATAATAATTATTTTTTAAAAAATTTAAAATTTTAGTATTTTTATTAAAAATGAAAGCTTTTGTATTGAAATTTGTCGCATGATTAAAAAAATTTGGATTAGTATAACACGCTATCAACAAAAAAAATCAGGTTATGAAATCTAATTACAAATAGGTTAATAACGTTATCAATTAATAAAAGCATAAGGATTATATTCATTAAAATTTGGATAAATGACTAAAATCATGTAATTGAGATAATAGAGGAAACAAATTCAGACTTAAATCATAGCATTAAAAATATAATAATTGGAGATGTTTTCAAAACAATATTTTAATAGAAAAACAGTTGGGAAGTGGGAATATGAATTAGAAAGAAAAAAAATTCATGGCAATATCTACACTTCTAGGGTTGAGCTAATAGTTAATTCAGTAAAATCGGTTTTAAAAATCCCAAAATAGAAAATCGAACTCTTCTTCTAAAAAAAACGAAATTGAATTGAAGTAGCTTAATAACCAAAAAATCAAACACTGAATTACTTTGATTAATTTGATTCTATTATAGAACTCATGAAGGTGGAGGGAAAAATTGTAAGGATGTGACATTTTTTTACAAGATCTCATGTTGAGATTTTTTTTTTTTAATTGTTGAGATTTTCTTTTATTTTGTTTTTTATTTAAATTATATAAATGAAAAATTCTAATTTGTTTTTTTGGACTCAAAACTCAGTTATTTTCTTGAAATATTACTCAATTAGGTTAGTTCGGTTACTTTAATTGAGAAAAATCAAAATAAAAAATCAAATCAATTAAATCATTTTAATTGAACGTAATGAACCTAAATAATCAAATATCGAACTAACTAAATCGAGAAAACCAAACTCACTTTGATTTTGTTTGGTTTGATCTAATTCTTCGGTTTGATTTGAATTGTATAACCCTATACACTTCCATACCTTTCTAGTGGCTGTCAAACTATTATTTATGGAGTTGCATGGCTAATTTAAAACTGGGGGACCATGGAGAAAATTGTTATCTTCAATTCAAAGAAAAAAAAACATTTATTTTAATGCTGGGCAATATACAAAATTTTAATCTTTCAAGATTTTTTTTCCTTTTCTTTTACTAGTAAGATTCAAGACAAAATGGTAATGTCACATACATCTTTCACTAATATAAAATACGTGATATTTTAAATAAAAAAATTCTTTATTTTATTGCCGAGCAATAATCAAATTGTTAACCTTTCTTGATTTTTCTTTATTTTGTTTTTCATTTTTTTTCTTTTACTAGTAAGATTCAAGACAAAATGATAACGTCACATGCATTTTTCATTGATATGAAATACGTGATATTTTATCTACTTGATTGCCGAATTCTCTTGTTATACTGACTCTTTCACTTATAGAAAAGGAAAAACCCACCTTGACCTAGATCTAACTCAATTCTATATTTTTCAAAGAGTCTCACATTAGTGAAGGGTTTGATAAACTCTTATAACATATTCATGAGCCCACATATTAACATAAAAGACATATCTAATAGATGAAAGATGATATTTATTTATAAACTCAAAACTTATCTTATTTCTTATCGATGTAAGATCGATAACTGTGATACTTGTATAAAAATTTCTTTAACTTACAAGTGATCATTGAAATAAAATCTTATAATAATAATAACCTTTGATGTATTGAAATATATTTCTTTATATTTTTACAATTTGTTTTGTTGGATAAAGGTTTAATTATTTAAAAAAAATCTTATAATTATCTTTTAAAACATTATAAAAAAAAAAAAGAAAGGCCATCAATTACCTTGAAATAAGTTAATAAATTATTTGAAGGAAAATTTTGGGCAAAACATGGACCAGTCTATCTAATTAAATTATCCCACACACTATGACATAGAAACAGCAAATTTTAATTAACAACCTAAACCCGGGGGCTAAGACTTTGCCTTTTGATTATTTTAATATGGTAGCAAAAGCAATATTAATCTTTTAATTTTGTAGGGAAATGTCAGCTTTGCCTAATCTTTATGATACAATGTACAAAGATACACACCTGTAGACATGTGATGCTGTTTAGTCTTTTAAAATGCTTTGGTATGAGGGTCACGTGATCTGTCTCTTTGGCCTTTGCATTCTTTAATCACATAATTAATGCCCTTAATCTATTCATAAATATAATTATTATTAATTAAATACTATTACTTTAATTAGTTTTGGTAATTCATATTTTCGTATCTTAAACGTGTCAGACACGAAACATATTAAAATTAAATACAAACATGATACGAATAATATTCATGTTGTAAATTTAAAACACATACACATATACATTTAATAACTTTGTAACATGACACAACACGATTAACACATCTGTTAAACGCGTCAATATACGACACGACATGATTAATAACATGATTAAATCAAAAAATTTATAATTAAATATAATAGTACCATTTAAATTTAAAATCAATAATTATAAAAATAATTATGACAAAACAAAATAATAATAACATCAAATATAATAAAACAAAAGTTCAAAATTAAAGTTTAGACATGGCATAATTACATTATTGTCTTTATAAAATTTAAAAAATTTATTAAAATAATTATTTAAAATTATTTAAGTAAGGCTAAAATAGTCTTGGATTATTAATTTTTAACAAGTTGATAAACGTGTCACATATACACGTTTAAATATACTTGAACATGTTTGTATGTTTAAACACAATTAACATGATTAATTAAATGTGTTACTCATATATAACATGTTAAGACATGAAAATTTTTATGTCTTAAATGTGTCAAATATGATTAAACATGAAACACATTAAGGTTAAACCCAAACTTGTTTAATCTTGTGTTGTGTTAATGTATCGTGTCCAAAATTACCAGATCTAATCCTAATTATATGCTTAAGTGAATATGAATCTCTTATGACACTCTTTTGGTTTTTTTTTCCTTTAATTATCACAAGGTTTATATAAAGATATAATATCTTAAAAATATTGTCGAATTGTTTAAAAAATTCAAATATCATTTATTATTTTATACCATATGATGTTCACATGTCATGATTAATAATACGTGAACATGCTGAAGCAGTATTTTTTTACAACTCACATCAACGTCATATCAGTATCATGTATATATAAAATGACAATTAGTTTACCATTAACCTATATTTGACCCAAATAAAGAATTTAATTGAACATTACAAAAAATAAAAATTTATTTAAATTTTTTTGAATAATTTATTATATCTTATTTAAATAAAATCCATGTTGTTCTCTTTGATTTGCCTCTATTTGTCTAGAGGTGAGTAAATAGGTAGATTAGGTGGTTTGGTTTACTATACTTAACGACTAAATGGGTCAATCATTTTTAAAAAATCAACCAAATATAAAAAAATACCAAATTAACCAAACATCAAATTGGTTTGGTTAGTGCGAATTTAGACTAATGGATCAAAGTTTTATCATGATTTTTTTGTCAATTATAATATTAAAATTTATAAACTTCATTCATAATTATATATATAAATAATTATACAATTTATATGTTATAATATTTTATATCAAAGTTTGTATAAATAATAACTAATTATAGACAATATGTTATAAAATCTAAAGTAATAGCTAATAAACTTTTTAAGTGTTATTATATAAATAAAGTTTATTATAAATTATAGTAATGCTTATGTATTAATTAAATATATGCATATATAATATATTACTTTATTATATATATATAATTAATGATACAAATTATACGTAAAAGTGTTTTATATTAAAGTTTATATAAACATAACTAATTATAAATAATATATTATAAAATTTAAGATGATAATTAATAAAATTATTAAATATAATCATATAAATAAAATTTATAAATTATAGTAATACTTATACAACTCCAAGAAGAATGGAAGTGGCCGGAGTTTTGATCCAAGCTTTTTCTTTGCAGTCAAAGGACACCATGAAAACATGCTTTATTTGGCTTCTAAGGGCGGGATGGGTAGCCGGGACTCTCCCTTTCCTCATCACTTCACTCCCTTGTTCACGTCTCGGTTCATTTCATGCCCTTTTACTTGGATTTGCCAAGAGGGGCAAGATTATGCCATCTTCTTCATCCCACAAGTTGACAGTTCCTCAAGAGTTTCTTTCTACATTTTTATTCGTTGGCTGTGGTTTGGACAGCAGTGTTGTTAATGGGAACTTGGTGGTTGGCAGACAAAGTTGCTCCTTTAAGTCACTTAACTGGAGGTGGGTCTCATGTTTTTTCCTTGCACAAGTCTGGGTTTACCTCTGCGGAAGACAGATTCAAAGTCTGGAAGTCTGTGTTCACGCTGTTGTTGATGGAAATTCAAGTCCTGAGGCGCCTTTATGAGACCCTTTTTGTTTTCAACTACAGCTCTTCTGCACGATTGCACTTTGTTGGATACGTCACTGGCATTTGCTATTACATAGCAGCACCTCTGTCACTCTCTGCATTTTGTGCGGCTGATCAAGTGGCTGAATTCAATGTCGAAGGCCAAGAAATGGTGTCAATTACAGGTTTTGATTTGTGGGGATATGTCAAGCCTATCACAAGGCTTGGATGGTGCCAATGGGCTGGTGCTGCTATATTTGCTTGTGGATGGTTGTATCAATACTCTTGTCATGCAATTCTTGGTTCACTTAGAGGACATAGATCAGATCAAACTGTTGAATATGTGACTCCACGTGGTGATTGGTGCAACATCGTCTCAAGCCCACACTATCTGGCTGAGATGATAATCTATGTCGGTCTATTGGTAGCCAGTGGAGGAACTGACTTCACTGTATGGCTACTCCTTGGATTTGTGGTGGCTAATCTTGCATTCGCCGCAGCAGAAACTCACCGCTTGTACCTCCACAAGTTTGAGGACTATCCACCTGACCGCTGGGCCATTCTTCCATTTGTTTACTGGTCGATCATTAAATTTTACATGTAAAATTGCAAAATAATCTAATATGTATATCATATGGTGAAAAATATTAATTGTTATATATTATTAATGAACTATTAAATTGGCAAAATTTAATTTACTTACAAATTTATGAAATTTAATAATTGTCACATTTGTATAACTAGATCTCCTTTTAAATATTGTTTATAAGTTTGTGAGTAAAAACTATTAAACAAATGATGGGGAAACAAGAATGGAAGAGGGAAATAAGAACATTATCTTTTTTTTTAATTGTTTGTTATATATATTGTTTAATATAATCAAGTTCATTGAATTTTGTCCAGCATATTCCGTTCCTAATAGTATCATTTACCATATTTTTATTCATTTATTTTCAGAGCTCATGTGATCAACAAATAAAAATAAATAAATATGAATTTTCTTGTTTACATTCTTTTATGATGAAAGAAATTTTATATTATTATTAAATGATAGGATATGAACCTTAGTATAATGCTATAATGTCACTTTTATAATTTTAAAAAATGTCTAATATGATAATTATATTAAGAGAATGTTTAATGTGGTACCTAAATTTTTATTTTGTTTATCAACTTTTAATTTCATTAAGAAAATCTTATGACATGTTAATGAATCAATTAAAATATTTCATGTGACTAAATAATGTCACATTACTCTTTGGTCTATGACACGTGATGTAACTTCATTTTGTTTAAAAAATAATCATTTTTTAAAAATTAAGAAACAAATTTAAAAAATATATATTTTCTTTTAACTTTTATTTAATTAATACAAATAAAAAAAATATTTTTTGTATTTCCCTTCTCAATAATTATAATTCATACTCATAATATAAAGTGAAACAAAAATATTTTGTCTATGTTATTGAAAATTTTAAAATGTGACAGTAAATTCATGTAAAGTGACACATGACCTAAAAAGGACATGATTCATATTTTCGATTTCTAAACTATGTAGGCTTAGTCAAGATTAATGACGTGAATTAGGGTTGCCAAAAGCAAGGCCAATGACGAAGTCAGAATTTTATGTTTGAGGGGATGAAAATAAAAAATATAAAAAATTTTATGTTTGTTGGGGTGAAATTATAATTTTTTTTAAAAAATAAAGAATAAAATTATAATTTTTTAAAATAAAGAACAATTATTAAATTTTAAAAGTTTAAGCGGGCGAGGCCCATACTAGCACCCCTCCCTCTTCTTCTAGGCGAAGTATTCGATAATTTTGAGGTACTCTACCCCAAACCCCTATTAATAACTAGGAGAGTCGAACCTTACAACTACTTCATTATTTTTTGAAATTTCTTATTTGAATTTGAAGCTTAATACCCTATTCACTACCCATTAACTACTCAAATCCTTTTAAATACCCGATTGTGTAAAAAAATTGATTAATCTCTTCATGATTATCAAATTATTCAAATTCATATCCGTACTTGTATAAGGTATATTTGTAATTCACAATTCACATCCATACAAGTCACTAATAATAAATGTATAAAAACAAACAAACATTAAGAACTTATTTGAAATTTTTTAATAATTGAGGAGGTTTTTTTTAGATATTATGTCAATTTAAAACTTCAATGACAAATTATTTTAAAAATTTCTTAAACAATAACTTAAATAACTTAAAATAAATAAATAAACATGTATAGGAAACATCTGTAATCAAGTTTGTATATTGGGTATTAAAAGAGTGCTACTCGAACTCGAAATCGATACTAAACTTATTATTTGTACTTATCTCGAATTTGAATATAAGATATTAATGCATTCAATATTCGATTAAAAGGTACCCATTATCATCACTAAACTAGTAATTGACCAGCTAAAAACCAACCAAAGATCCCACGTTAGTTATGAACAGGATATTAAAGGTTTTTCTATACCAGAAAATGGCAACACACGATTGTCCATTGCATAAGGATGACATGCACAATTCGAGAATAGGTCCAAATTTTATGAATAAACTCTAAGGTGCTAGCTGGTTTGTGCTTGATATAAAATATGTACTTCATGGATGCTCAGCTGTCTGGCTTTGTGCAAAAATTGGACTTAGCACTTGTATCTCGTTTCACTTGGTGGTCTAATCCATCAACTCTTTCCATTCAGTAAAGCTGTGCAATTGTACAATGTGGTCTTGACTAAGAGTTTCCGTACATAGTGCTCCTAGATTTGCTGGTTATCGGTGCTAATCTTCTGATATATTTAGCAGAATTGAAGAACCAAATTCTGCAGCATGAAGTGCAATTTGGTGCCATTGAGGAATGAACCTGAATAGGAAGCTAAAAATTAGGGAAGCAAGAGGCCCAAAAATTGACCTGCAGATGTCAATTTAGATATTTCTGTTATGGTAGAACCTTCATCCTCTTGATCTGTTCCTACCTTTTCTCTGTTTTCTTTTCCTTTAATGGAACTGTCAGGATAGCTACAGCCTGTTGACATTTTGCAGGTATCAATACGTAGTGGGAGGGAAAAGAGTGTCTTATCCTTGAATCCCAATTTCCTTTGTGTTGTTCCATGTCTTTGTCTTTCTAATTTTAATTCTAATGATTGTTACTTTGAAATTTGAATCCATAAGAGGTTCCTTGCAAGAAAATTTTCTTCTGTTTACACATTTATTTTGTTATGTGTTCTGGCATAGTGTGGTCATCTTCAAGCATATGAACCCAAGTCCTGTTATAAATGATAAATTAGCAGCATGATTGGAACAGGTTAGGAACAAGTGGATGAACAAATTGAACTTGATGTGATAACATGAAAATTTGATTAATCATTTTACTACATCTCTATGCTTAAATGCGCTGCAGAATTTTATTCTCTTTTGTCTTTTTGTGATGCTGTAGGAAATAATCAACTGTAATGAGGTTTGCAAAGCTGTATCTAATGCATTGTTGGGATTGAATGAATACAATGGAAGTGGGAGATACTTACTTCTCCAACTTTGGAGCTTGAAAGAGGGAAGAAAAGCTAGCCTGGAAGAGCCAGTTGAGTGCACCATCCAAGAATTGAAGACCCAAAATATAGAAAGTGACAGAGCCATCCATAAACATGCTGGGGCTTTACTGTTAAATATTCTTTAGTCATGCACTATTGGTACTTCTGAATCACAAGGTGTAATTATCGAACTACAAACTTGGGATCATCAAGTTATGCCAACTGTTACCAAAACTTGACCAAAACATAAAGCTAATTGCCCCATGAAAAGTTTTTCCCTCAGGAAAAGTGATCAGCTGGGCTTTGATGTCCAGGAATCAGACCCATTCACTAGGTTGAGACACGTCAACAGCCACGTGTGGGGTTACGTGAATTAGAAGGGTCCTACAGCCACAAAGCCCATGGCTTTTGTGCCATACCTGAGGCTCAACCAGCCCACTTGTAAGGCCTTAGTCAGTTTAGTCAGAATCCAACCAAACCTCCCACATTAGTCAGGAACGGAACAATAACAAATTTTATATACCAGAAAGCAACAATCTGTGGTTGTCCCTTCGGGGACATCTGATAAAATTGGAACGATACAGAGAAGATTAGCATGGCCCCTGCGCAAGGATGACACGCACAAATCGAGAAATGGTCCAAATTTTTTTTCGAGGATTTTTGCATCTGTTTCCACCTCTTTCCCTGTTTCCTTTAGCTAAACAACTGATAAAGAGGCTCATGGTAGTTTAAATTCAGATAGGTCTGGCTTAGTTGATCTGTTTTCAGTGATTTGCAGGTGGTCAATTCTCTGGTCATGCCAAAATTTTTTGCTTTCCCTGGATATGAAAGGGCATGGCTGATCCTATGCACGATGCGTTCTTCTACAAACGGAAGCAGTAGCTGCTATATATAAACTCCCACTCTTTGGGTGTTTAATTTTCCTTGGTAGAATCTGAATATCTGATATAGGAAATGACTTCTCTTATTAATCTAAGTACCCTTTCTTTTGGTTGAGATTGTGCGTGAATTAGTATGTTCTTGACTCCTGAGCTGAATTCTTATGAATAGTGCTTAGTTGCTTATATTTGCTAGTCATTGGTGCTTGTCTCCTGTCATTTTATGCTATACAGCACAAGGACGATTCAAGGAAATGATGTATTATGGAAACAGAGAAGTGCCCCAAATTGATCATGTCTTCTGCAGGTTGAAAAATTATGTTGCAAGTAAGTAATTTGGAGCAAATGTTAAGATTGAGACTAACAGGCTGAATCGTCTTTAAATGGCAGCTAAATCCATTGTATCAACGATTCTTACAATCATGGTGAATCCTCTGAAATAAATTTTGCTGCATAATGGAACTTTTCTACCTCTTGGGTGTAAGCTGCAGTTGTTTTAGTGCATCAACGCATTCAGTTTATCAGGTCCAACTATTGCAGCCAAATAGTTTTTGTATTAGTTGGATTTGCAACAGTGTTTTTGTTTGTACAGGCTTGATTATTAATCACCCAAGGAGAGGATGCCATTGATTAGTCTGCATCAAGAGAAAGCAGCCAGACAAAATTTCCTCATGGAGAAGGCAAAGTTTCCTCTTTCTTCTTTTGAACAAAGCATTGTTTATCAAGTGAGCTATGTTGGGATCCATTATTTTGCTTCCTGAGAAAGAATGTGCTGCTGTTCACATAGATCAAGGTTGTATGATATGCCTTACAGCAAATGTTGTCCCATAGTTATAGCTTATACATGAAGTTTGTTGTTTCTATCTGTCTGATTTGACTTAATTTAATGTTTCTCAACTCAATTGGGAATGAAAACATAGAGAAAGAAACCACAAGTGTGATTATATTCCAACATGTTAAACATTGCAGTTCAAAGTTCTACAAAAATCTCTCAGTTATCTGAGACAGACTATGAAAGAAAAAGTGGATAAATTGCAGGCTGAGGAGAAAATTTTTTCCAGTCCCAACTGCTTTCAGTTTGAGCTGCACCCTGCCTAGGTGGTGAGCGCTGGGGCTTAGAAATGGTATTTGATGAGCCCAATCATAGTCATATAGACAATGACCTTGTAATCTAAGCTTTGGAGATTACAATCATAATCATGGCATGATTACAAAAAATGTCTGTCAAATCCAAAGAAAATTGATCATTCGAGGTGATCAAGCCATACTGCCATAACCTTAACTTCAATCTTACTCAAGGAATAATCCCATTGACAAGGATGTCTGTGTTCAGCAAAATCTATCAAAGTGTGTACCTGATCATGACAGATCAGACCCATGTTGACATGGTAATATAAAAAACTTATTCAATACCCCATTGAAAAGGATACGTGGTTTTACCAAACATTCAACGATGAATAAACAAAGGGTTTTTCCACTTTTCAGTTTTCTAACCAACCTTTTACCTAACTTAGGCAGGAAAAAATTCTTCCCCGTGAGAACCTGACGAGATGAATCACCATTTTCCCAGACTTTGCAACCAATTCAGAGAGACAGCAAAAATTTGCAAACCTTTTCTAACCTACTTTCCATTCTTCTTGCAAGCTTCCCCATTAACAAAATTGCCCAATTGCCAGCTTTATTATATAATTAATGAGATTGCCTACGCCATTTGAGTAACTAGATGGAAAATTAATTCATGCTGTTGCGAAGGCAAGTTGCGCAGGGGCAGAAAATTTCAGCTTTGTAACACTAGAAATATGGTGTGTAAATAGTTGATTTTGGTTAATACTTATTCTATAAAAACCATTATAAGTGAAGCATTACTTCATACAGAACAACTAAAATAAGTGAAACATTATTTCACGTGGAACAATTAATACAAGTAGAATAATTATTTTGTATAAAATAACAATTTTACACATATAACAAACTAGAACTCATAGCTTTTCCCCTTAACTTATTCTCACTCAGAACACTTATTTTTTTTATTCTCTTTTGCTTGTCACGACATTTAGTGTTTAAAAAATTACTTCAATTTTTCTCTCTATCACCTCTGATACATTTCTTACTTATTTACAACGTTTTTTTTTTTCATCACAAGAATCACCGTTTACATGGTGCAGGCCATTACTATATGAACAAGGAACACCATCGCAGACAGATAAATCAATTTCAGATAATATTTTACAGTAGAAAAAGGAGGGTTCATAAATATAGCTGTCACCTATATTAAGGAAAGTACTTTTCTCCTGTATAGCAAATCAGAAACTGTCTCTTCTCTATTACTGAAACTAAAGCTATCAAATAAAAAAAATCAAAATGCCTTTTGAATTAATCAAATACCAACAACAAACTCCAGCAAAGGAGGTACTTATGACAGATTAGAAAAGTTACAATGAATTAGTTGCAAGATACGATGTTGATACTGTTGTTTCAATGGTTGCGTATGTATTAATAACTAGAAAACAACAGACAGTGACTTGTTCATGCCGGAATATGTTTTGTGATAGATATAAACCGAATCTCCAGTGTAGTTTAACTTCTTCAAGGATTGGATAATTAACAACTTGTAAGGCTTTCGACAGGGGTGGCTTTTAAAGCTTCAAGTCCAGGGGACACAACCAGCACATGTGCTTTGTAATCAAGATGAACAGCTCATCTTCAGTTCCAACAATGAACAGAAAACATGGAGAGAGAGAGAGAGGGAGAGAGATTAAACCGAACCCAAGGCTGGGATTGCACGATCCTGGAGGAGGATGAAGAAGCCTCGCAGAGGTCGAGTTAAGGGTATTAAGTGCTGCCTGTCACCAGGAGTGAAGTGTAGGGGACCCGGTGAATGTAAATGCAACACGGGGTTGGATTTACCCTTTTGCAGGAAAATGAGATCAGTGTACTTGCTAGCAATTAAGGTAGGGGAAAGTCTTCTACGTAATTAAAGCACTTTAACCAGCATATGGTACTATTGTCCTTAATCCGTTTAAGATAATATGCTTTCCAAAAAACAAGAACAATAAGTAATTACCAAACTTGATCAATATGAACCATTTCTTTTTCAACCACCCAATTCTCCAATCCTATATTTAGATTAAAATTTTAAATTCGAGTCATAATTTTGTAAATCACGACAATAAACCGAATAAATTGAAAAAAAAAATTCTGAGAGTGACAAAGTCCCAAATGGCATCACAACAAAAAGCACTGGGATTGGAAAAGAGAAATTGCTTGCTTCCTTCCCATGCAACATCGAGAAAGTGACCCATTCTCTAGCACTAACAAATATATAAATATATATATACTTTATGTATATAACATTTAAATACATGTTCAAATTAACCCAAGTTAGTGACCTAATTAAGGGCCATAAACCGATGGCGCAGTCGCCATTTTCTTTTTCCAAAAAGCATAACTTTACGTCCATAAATCTTGACTAAGTTTGGTGAGGTTAAGTAATCAATCTTCGAGTATTAACGTGGCGTATAATCCTTTATTCTTTGCGGATATATCCAACTTTTATGGAGGCTTAAGGCCGAAGAGACACACTTTCCAGAAAAAAAAATGTGTACAAGAGAAGTAGTTGTGAAACTGATGAACTGCCTTGCTCTCACATTAGAGACTAGTCAATCCAAACCCTTGCTCTCTAACCTTAAATCCCCACAACCCCTTTCGTTTTCCTTCAATCAAGAAAACCCAACACTTTTTTTGGGATCACATAAGCCAAAAAAAAAAAAAACCAAAGGAAAACAATGGAATCAGTTGTTTCTGAGCTTGAAGGGGTTCTTCTGAAAGACCCAGACCCTTTCTCTTACTTCATGTTGGTGGCGTTTGAGGCCTCCGGGTTAATCCGGTTCGCTTTGTTGCTGTTGTTTTGGCCAGTGATTCGGTTGCTGGACATGTTAGGATTGGACGATGCAGGGTTGAAGTTGATGACCTTTGTCGCTACGGCGGGGCTTCGAGAGTCGGAGATTGAATCTGTGTCGAGAGCTGTTTTGCCAAAGTTTTACATGGATGATGTCGACATGGAGGCTTGGAAAGTGTTTAGCTCGTATGATAAAAGAGTTGCGGTGACTAAGACGCCTAGGATTATGGTGGAGAGGTTCGTCAAGGAGCATCTACGAGCTGATGAGGTCCTCGGAAGTGAGCTTGTGGTAAACCGGTTTGGGTTTGCTACTGGTTTCGTTAAGGGTGATATCGCTTCTATTTCGAGTAGAGTAGCCAAGTTGTTTGTCGACGAAGAGCCTACTTTGGGGCTTGGAAGAGCTCCGTCAAGCTTTCAGTTCTTTTCTCTATGCAAAGTAAGTCCCTCGAGAAATCTACGGTCCGAAGGTTTTTCTAGTTATAATGCTAGTGTACCAGTTCTTCATGCTAACATGACATTTTTAACAGGAACAAATGCACCCACCATTGACGACCAACCAAAACCTCCACGACAACCAGCTGCTCCGCCCCCTCCCAGTGATTTTCCACGACGGCCGGCTCGTGAAGCGACCGACCCCTCCAACCGCTCTCCTAATCCTTCTATGGATGCCATTAGGCATCTTATTAGCAACCATCCGTATCGTCGTCGGTCTAATCCTTCCAATGCGAGCTATCCCCTACATGTCCCGTTTATTTGGTGGTAAAATCATTGTCAAAGGCAAACCACCGCCACCCGTTTCCGGTACCAGCTCCGGGGTCTTATTCGTTTGCACACATAGAACCCTGATGGACCCCGTGGTGTTATCCACCGTGCTCATGCGCAAAATCCCAGCAGTTACGTACTCCATTTCGAGATTATCCGAGATCCTGTCACCAATCCCGACCGTGAGACTAACAAGAATCCGGGAAGTCGACGCAGAGAAAATCAAGCGTGAACTAGCCAAAGGTGATCTAGTGGTATGCCCCGAAGGAACAACATGTAGGGAACCATTTTTGCTAAGGTTTAGTGCCCTCTTTGCTGAATTGACAGACCGAATCGTCCCGGTCGCCATGAACTACAGGGTAGGGTTTTTCCATGCAACCACGGCTAGAGGCTGGAAAGGCCTGGACCCAGTCTTCTTCTTCATGAATCCTAGACCCGTTTACGAGGTGACGTTCCTGAACCAACTGCCAGCGGAAGCCACGTGTTCGTCGGGAAAAAGCCCGCACGACGTGGCGAACTACGTGCAAAGAATCCTGGCCGCTACGTTAGGGTTCGAGTGCACGAACTTTACTAGGAAAGACAAGTACAGGGTATTGGCTGGGAATGATGGAACAGTTTCATGCACTTCTTTTGTTGATCGGGTGAAGAAGGTGGTGAGCACTTTTAAGCCCTTTTTTCAATGAAATTATCAAGAACAAAAAAAATATGATTATTTGTTTTTTTTATTTTAATTTCTTGGAATAAATTGATTTAATTGTGTTTTTTTTTTGTTCTTGTACATGGTGGGATTTGTAGTTTAATTTCTTTTTTTGGATTTATTATTTATGGAATTGTTGAATAATTTGTAAGGATGATTAATGTTAATCATTGAATTTAAGGTTAATGTTAGTTCTGTTAGTTTGCCAGGATTTGTTGATGAACATGAAAAGTACTCTGTAGAAAAGTGTAGAACCAAAGAAGTGAAAGAAGAGGAAAGAAACTTTCTTATTCAAGAATCCGTCTGTTGCACTTATTTATATAGAAGTTCTACAAAATTATAATTACAAAATAATTAAATATAAAATCAGATGTCTATTTACAATTGGTCACGTTTTGACATGTATATGTATTTAACATCCCCCCTCAAGATGAGTATTATGAACATGGATGTTCAGAATATTCATCTTGCTGAGTAGAAAATGGAATTGCTGTGGTAAAAATGCC